GGGGGGGGGCTGCGGTCGTGGGCTTTTTCTTCCTGCTCAGGCGATCCGAATATCTCGCCGACGGTACACGAATCAAGCCATACACCATCCGAACGAACGACGTCAAGTTCCTAACCAACCAAGGTGTCATTACCGGGTCACTAAAAAGCGCAGCGGCAGTTTCCATACACTTTCGGGGTAGTAAAACCGATCAAGCTGGCTCCGGGATGTCGAGAACGCTACACAGGTCTGGTTCAACGTGGCTGTGTCCGGTGTTAGCTGCCTGGGAGCTGGTTCAGATCACAAGGTGCTTCGAAAAGAATGCGGTGCTGTTTTCAACGAGTCCTGGAAGAGTTCTCACCGCCAACGTGCTTGGAGACGCTATCAAGACAGCTGTAGCATCAATTGGCGCTGATCCAGCCAAGTTCGGAACACACCCAATGAGAAGTGGCGGAGCAACGGCTTTATTCGCAGCCGGCACCGACAGACTCACTATAAAGATCTTCGGGCGTTGGTCCTCCGACGCATTTGAGCTATACACAAGAATGAACGACACGGTCTCCAAGTCCCTATCACAGCGAATGACACATGGCGCGATGTCTCGTGTCAGCCCGGCTACGCCTGAGGGGCCCCGTCCAGCTCAACATTCATGAGCAGGCCTAGCTAACACTCCAACATGACATGACTGCGCCCCTACTTGCTGTATGATCACGGAAAACGTTATTTAGCTGTATCAGATGTAGCCAATAGGAAGCAGTCTCAACTCTCTGCGTAGTTGTACAATTTAGTGAAACCAATAGACTGGCAGATGTAAGGTGGCTATGGAGGCCACGTGGCCTCCATCCACCGGAACTGTGGGGGGCGACGTACTCTTCTTTCAGCGTCCCCCCCTCCGCCCCCAAACCCTCCGTCTTTGATATATTAGCACTCACGGCGTGAGCGCAAGCGATCTAGTGTTATGTACGGTGTAGTATATTCAAAAGCTTTAAATTTAGTTTTAGTACGATATGTTTCTTTGATAGAGATTGCCAGAGGTTACACCGTTCGCCCTAATTGCTCGTGTGACCTAAATAGTCGTGCTTCGTATATTATACGAAAACTTATGGGACGATTATACTATAATTGTCCTATAATTTTTGAATACCTAAATCATTCATTTCTGCCTCAAATTGCAAAAAGAAAAGCAGATTCGGATAAATTTAGATGAGCCGCCTTTGACTTAGTAAAGACCAGAGGCATTTGCATAATCAGATTCTAGAACGTGTGAGGGGCAAGAAGTCGTCGAATGACGAATAGGGCGAACGGTGTAGTTACCATTACGTTAAGGGCTTAAATTGAGTTGATAATACCGAATGATCGAGCTGTGGTTTCCTGGAAATCTCAGATTAGTACGTTCGAATTTTTTTTTTTTTGCACATGCATTTAATGTGTGTGGGGTCAAGCTTCAGTTCTCCTCAAAAAACTTCGCACGACTTGTTGAAATGCACCAGTTAGACAGGAGCGATTTACTATCTACCACGTTCTAGACTCTATCAGCTTTCAGAGCATGTGCAAGTCCGTAGGAACTTGTTTGCCAGTCAGCAAAGCTAGCGTAGTTGGAGACACTGATGTCGGCTTTACCACACCAGGGCATGACTCACGACCATCAGTCAAGTTTGGGGTAGATAAGCTGGTTAGCGGACTATCTAAGTACTCCACTACCATCGTAATATTGTCACGGAACCATGGTGAGGACTTGTACTTCACGATGGAAATTGTAGAGTGAATTGAAAATTAAAACTAACTGCAGGCCTACGAACTGGACACGCTCTTGTGTCCAACGCATTGCCCGTAAACAACGGTCAGGTCAGCGTCCAGTAATCCTTAATAAAAGAGAGGGACTTTATCAGGTCTAGAATCGTAAACGGAGGTAACTCCGTTACAAATATCCCCTCCGTACGCGATGAATCCGTCAGCTCCAGGCGCGCATACCATGAAATGCTTGCCACCAAATGACGTCTCGTATAAGCTTCCTTTGTTGCAGCCCACTTCACTGTCGTCACCGCCAGTCTCGGTCGATACGGTCTTGAGATTGTTGAGCGTATCAACGATGGAGTCGAACGGTGTGATTGAAGACAGACATCTCACGGTTCGTGTGGCGACGGACGTGGTGTCATCTCCCGTGCTCTCCACGACGTATGCGGAGCCGTCAACGACCATGTACGTGAACTTTGAATCCCCTTGGATAAATGTGGCGAATCCGTCGTAGCGTACGCTTGTTGGGTCAGCGGAAATTACTGGTTTGGCGAATACGTCGAAGACAGACTGTCCGTGAATCTGCATATTCTTTCCCTTGAGCATGATGTGGAGACGTACTGATGGAGCATTATTTAATTGCTGGTGTAGGCTTTGCGGTGGTGTCGCGGAGGTTAGGATTGTTTCGCTCGCCACAGTACCGACAGTTACGAGGAGAGTGAATACGATGGCTTGCAGTCCAACAGGCATGCCCGCGTGTGGGAAAGTGCGCTCTTATCTAGCAGATGAATAAATCGTTTAGGCCCTGGTCTAAGTAGAAATTCCGAAACTCGTTCCAAGAAATTCTGCTCGGTCATTGGCTGAAAATAGAAACAGATTTCGGAACGCGTTCTCAAATTTTACTGTTCTGTATGGCGTTCTCAGAAAACCTCCGCTACCTATTCCGAAGTGGGAACGAGTTTGGCGTCTCTACCGATGTATACCCGTGCCGACTTTAGGAATAGCTCATTTTGCTGTTTGCCTCCGGTAGACCTCAGCACTAATCCCCTGTCAAGTCACTTCGCTTCGTAATGGGCACCAAGGCAAAACTCGCCGTTCTCTGCATGTTGCAGTGCGTTTGTGCAACTGTGTCCGCTCTGTGTAGCGATCGTCGTCGTCTCGGTGGAGAGACCCGTTCCAGTGTCAATACGTTTGCAGCTACAGCTTTTGAGAGAGCAATGCAGACTAAGAAAACAAAATGGTTTCACTCGAAGATGCGTTGTGACAAGCGAACATTTCTTGCGGTTGTAGCTCTTGTCAGGCTCAACTGGAGAGACCGTATCCATCACAATGTCAAGTTTGACATCACCAAACGCGTTGCTGTGACGATAATCTATCTATCTACCGGTGGAACGATTGATAGTGCTGCTACTGTCATGGGGATGTCAAAAACCAGTGCTGTTGTATACATTTGCCAAGTGCTGTCGGTTCTAACGAGAATGGCGAAGGAAGAAATCACAATGCCCAACACACAGACCGAAATCGAGAGAGTTACAGATGGATTTGAGCGAATCGCAGGCTTTCCTGGCGTCATTGGTGCAGTGGATGGCTCCTTGATGCGAATTAGCCGACCCGCGGAGCACGAAGGCTGGTATTGTAGAAAAAATTTCCCTGCTGTCAATATGCAGGCCGTAGTGGATCATGAGACTCGATTTCGTTCTTATTGTATTCGGGCTGGGTCTATCAACGATCAAGCTTTGTGGAATCAGTCGGGTCTGCGCAATAAAGTTTCTGTGCCTAGTGGAATGCATCTTCTTGGCGATGCTGGATACAAGATATTTCGGCATC